TCCCACACCCACCCAGTGCTCCATCCATCAAACCCCTGTCTTCTAACACAATCTATTACTTAACTGTGGTGGTGTTAAAAGACTTTGAACAGCTGGCTCCGAGTCATTACTATTAGCATCTTTAAAAATAGAATTGGCAGTATTTACAGAAACACTAATGATAGGAAAACATGTGAAATTTCCCTCTTATGTAATGTTTATTGAAAGAATTATGTGTTCTGTTAGAGGGACTTTTAAAAATAAACACAGGCTTTTCTCTGTAGGCCTTCTTCTCGATGAAGAAGGCCTGTGAATTTTGGGAATCACAGTAATATTCCTTTCATCATCTTAAACATGTTGCAATTACAGTCATTATATCCAGGATAGGGCTTTTAAAGGAATTTAATATCACGGTATCTTGCCCCCCTTGTTTCTCTGCCCAAATTGGGAGTTTCTCACAGTATTTGCCTCCTTTGCAGTTCTGTGGTAATTGGTGGTATTTTTGTTTAGAAACCGCTTCATCAGCTCCCTGAGACCAGATAAGCATGAAGAACATCATGCTGCTTCAGGCAGTTCTATTTCTATTTACACTGGTTTTAGTCAGGATAGCTTCACTGATACCAGGGAACCTGATCCTGATTTACAGCAGTGAAAGGAGAAAATTGTAATCATTTTGTGCCACCAGAAACACGACAGAATGGGAACTGTAATAGCTCCCAGTAGGGCACAGCATAACAAGGAAAACTCCAGGATCCGTGCTGCTTAATTGAAATGTGAGATTAACAGTGGAAGTTTAAATATTATCTGCAGTTTCCCTCATACTAATTTTGACACAATGTGAAATACTCAGCTCACGATGCTTGGGAATGAGAACGATCAGTCATTCCTCAAAGAAGACTCATTCATTTGCAGAACTGAGGCATTTCAGAAAAGTGGGATGAGATAATAACTGGTACAAATACTTTCATTAAAATAATAATCCGGGAATTTAATAAAGAATTTATTTGGCTTTATTGCGTCTCCCAGTTAAATGAATGCCCATTGACTTTGCCCATTGAATGTCAGTGGATTTTGATGATGGCTCTGACTGGACAGAGAGTGAGTTTGGATCAGCATATGCCATTCTGGAAGGCTGGAGGTGATTTCATGGCTTGTGAAGTGAAAGAAAACTCTTAACTCTCTGAATCTGTGGGAAAAGAGTGAATACACAAAAGTAAAGGTGGATGGGAAAAGACCAACTCTCCCAAAGGTGCGAGTGGTGGCTGTGCCCTCTGCTCTCAGCCAGGTGGAGCCCTGCGGTGCCAGATCCCCTGCCCGGGCTGCACTGACCCAGGGACTGACCCAGGGACTGACCCGGGGACTGACCCGGGGCTGCACTGACCCAGGGACTGACCCAGGGACTGACCCGGGGCTGCAGTGACCCAGGGACTGACCCACACTGTGCTGGCCCAGGGACTGACCCGGGGCTGCACTGACCCAGGGACTGACCCGGGGCTGCACTGACCCAGGGACTGACCCAGGGACTGACCCGGGGACTGACCCGGGGCTGCACTGACCCAGGGCTGCAGTGACCCAGGGACTGCACTGACCCAGGGACTGACCCAGGGACTGCACTGACCCAGGGACTGACCCACACTGTGCTGGCCCAGGGACTGACCCACACTGTGCTGGCCCAGGGACTGACCCGGGGCTGCACTGACCCAGGGACTGACCTGGGGCTGCACTGACCCAGGGCTGCAGTGACCCAGGGACTGACCCAGGGACTGACCCACACTGTGCTGGCCCAGCACCGGGAGGGAGCCCCAGAGCACCCGGAGCTCCCAGCCCGGAGCTCCCAGCCCGGAGCCCCTGCCAGGCTGCTCTGGCCCCTCCCGCACACCTGGCACACGCAGTGCCCTCAGGCCGGGCTGGGCACTGCCCACCCTGCAGCCCTGCTCTCCGTACGGTTCCCTCCTGCCTCCCGAGGAGGAACAGAACCTTCTCGCAGCTCTTTGTCTGTTGTGATCTCGGCAAACCACCCAATCTGCTGAATGCTCCCAGCGCCAGGACTGCCAGGCACGCAGAGTATCCCCAGGACTGCCACTGGTAAAATGCCTGATTGTCTCTTCATAAAATGTAAACCACTAAACAAGGCTGGAAACAAAGAGGAAAAACTGGAAAAAGGAGTAATGAACTCCAAGTGTTTTCAAGGACAGCCTGTTCCAGTGACCCTTTGGCCACCCAAATTGCACATTTGCCCCATTAGAGGCGCAGTCGCAGCTACAGCCAAAGATGTTTGAGGAATAAATTACTGTGAAAGTCAGCTTTTATTTAAACTCCCTCATTTCAAACACAAAGTGGTTCTCTGTTTCCCTGGAGACCGGGATATGTAAGAAGGCAGAATTTTCTCTCCATTTCCCTTTCCTACACTGGACCACTGTAGAGCAGGTTTTGGATTTCCCTCTTTCCCTCCTGCAGGACTGGCGTCAGTTATGACGGGTCATTTTCCTCAGTGACTGGAGCTGTGTCTCTGGGGTGGGTGACCTGTGCTGAGACTCCTGACATGCAGGTGCTGCTGAGGGGCTCAGCATCTTCCACTGCACGTCCCTCCCTGGGTTTAAAATTGCTGTCAGACACGAGTGCCCAAGGAACAGACAGGGAGACACTTTTTGAGTTCTTGAAGTAGAAAATTAACACAATTGAAATGAATATATCTCTGCTACAATAATGGAGCGCTAGAAAAAAAAACAAACAAGAAACTTACAAGATCTTTTATTTGTCTCTGACTCCTGTTTAGGAAGGTAAAACCACTTACTATGCTGCTCAATGAAGAATAAATTGAACAAACCCAATGTTGCACTCTCTGTGTCTGCACAGGGAAAGGAATTAGGAGATGGAGTGGGTTGAAATCCCCCTCTGGCATGAGGACAAACACATCCTTATGTCCCAATCCTATCTTGAAAATTTATTGGGAAAAGACTCTGTGCTCTGGATTTCATTGTCCAATAATAGTGGAGAATGAGAAAGAAATGACAACTGACTGGAGCTCTTGGATGGCATCTTTCACACTTTTCCCACAGAACGTAAAGGCAGGAGAAAGGAAGGAGGAAAGCTGATACCTCAGAGATTCACAGTGTACTTAAACACAATCCTATACCTAAACAAAGCTAAAATTACTGCCTTGTATAAAGGTGTTCCATCTTTTTATTTGAGAGAAAATTCTTTCTGATTTTTCAAAGAAATACTCTTTGAGAACTATTCTTTGCCTTTGGAAAACTGTTCTTAAATGATACCTTTCCATTGTAATCCTTTTACAACTTCCAGGCTCTTTGAAATAATGATTGCTTGCTCGCACACATTCTGTGAGGAGCACAATAACTGACGTATCCATTTCAAAACATGCTGGGAAAGAAAACAGCATCAATTTTAAATGAAAACGTGGGAAACAGCACCTCAGGAACCACGAAAGTCCTGCTGGTGTTACAGCTGTGGTCTACTGGCTCCAGGGCTGTCCCTTGACATGGTCTGCTGGCACTGAGAGTTATTCCAGAGATGATTTTCGTTAGCCATTCCACGAGACATTCCAGTTCAGCAAGCCGTGGAAACACAAGTCACGAGTGTGTTCCAGCTCAACAACCTCATGAGCTTCAGCAGGACCAAGTGCTGGTGCCAGGCCTGGCCTGGGGCAACCCCTGGTGCCAGGGCAGGCTGGGGGATGAGCAGGTGGGGAGCAGCCCTGGGAGAAGAGCTGGGGTGCGGGTGGGTGAGAGCTGGCCACGTCCCTGTGAGCATGAACCCCCCTGTGCTGGGCTGGTCCCCAGCGTGGGCAGCAGGGCAGGGGAATCCTGCCCCGCTCAGGTGAGACCGCACCTGCAGAGCTGCCCCAGCACATCGGCTTTGTGCAGCGAGTCCACAGGAGGCCGTGGAGATGGTTTGAGGGACGGAGCACCTGTCCCACGAGGAAAGGCCGAGGGAGCTGGGGTTGGCCAGCACGGAAAATAAAAAGCTTTGTGGAGACCTAATCGCGGCGCTCCAGTGCCTGGAGGGGGCCTACAAAAAGGATGGAGAGAGACTGTTTACAAGTGTCACGACAAGGGGGAATGGCCTCTAGTGAGTTCCGATATCGGTAGAGAGCCCCAGGGAGCGAGGCAGGATGAGCGGTGTGCGCTGGCACAGGCACCGCCGGGCCCCGGGGAAAGGCTGGGCTGGGCTGGGCTGGGCCGGGCCGGGCTGCGCCGGGCTGGGCCGGGCCGGGCCGGGCTGGGCCGGGCCGGGCTGGGCTGGGCGGCACCGCAGCGCGGTGCGCTCTGGGCTGTGAGATTCGAATAATGGGGCCGAAGCCAGCGGGCTGGGGACAGCGGACCGGGCGGGGCTCAGCGCGGGGACCCGGAGCGCCGCCCTCGGCAGGGCCACGGCCCAGCCCGGCCCCGCGCCCGGGGGCTGCGGGCGGGGCCGGGAGGAGCATGCCGGCCCGCCCCGGTCCCGCCCCCGGCCCCGCTCCGCCCGGCCCGCCCCCGGGCCCCGGCCCCACTCTGCTCCACTCCGCTGCCCGCATCCCCCGCTCCATTCGCTCTGCCCGGCTCCACTCCGCTCACCCCGCCTCGCCCGCATCCCACCGGCCCGCCCCTGGCTCCCGCTCCCGGTCCCTCTCCACCCCACTACCCGCATCCCCCGCTCCGCTCTGCCCGGCCCCGCTCCGCTCACCCCGCCCCGCTCCACCCCGCTGCCCGCATCCCCCGGCTCCCGGTCCCGGTTCCGCTCCACCCCGCTGCCCGCATCCCCCGGCTCCCGGTCCCGGTTCCGCTCCACCCCGCTGCCCGCATCCCCCGGCCCGCCCCCGGCCGCCGGCCCCGCTCCGCCCGGCCCGCCCCGCTGGGCCCCGCCCGCCTCCGCCGGCCCCGCTCCGCTCCCGCCGCCGTGTCCCCGCCCCGCCGCGCTGTGGCCGCCGCGGGCAGCGGGCGGGAGGCGGCGGCGCCGGGCGCTGCCATGCGGGCGGGCGGCGCCGGGGCGCGGGGCGGCTGAGGGCGGCGGCGGGGCCGGCCGCGGGAGCCGCCGGGCCGGCGGGGAGAGGCCGCAGGGCATGCCAGCCGCCTGCCCCGATGTTTCCCTGGAGCAAGTGGAAGAAGAGGATGGGAGCGAGCGCCTCCTCCTCCAAGAGACCCGTCTTCGACGAGCGAGAGGACGGTGAGTGCGGACCGCGATGCTCCGGGGTGCCCTGCCCTGCCCTGCCCGGGATGCCCTGCCCTGCCCGGGATGCCCTGCCCTGCCCTGCCCTGCCCGGGATGCCCTGCCCTACTCTGCCCTGCCCGGGATGCCCAGCTCCGGGGCACTCTGCCCTGCCCGGCCCCGGCGGCGCCTTTGCCGCGGTGCCCCGGTTCCCAGCCCGGGGTGCCCTGTCCCGCAGTGCCCCCTGTCCCGGGGTGCCCGTCCCGCGGTGCCCGTCCCGGGCTGCCCCGCCCGGCCCCGGGGTCCCCCGGCGGTGCCCCCGGCGGAGCGGGCGGCCGGGGCCGTGCCCGGCTGCGGGGTCCGGCCGGGCGTTGCCTCCCCGCGGGGCGCGGGACGCTGCCCACGGACACCCCACGGGGGGCTGGGGAGGGGGCGAGGGGCGGCTCAGCAGCGAAGTTTCGGTCTGTGCACGGACAGCCCCGCTTGGATGGCCGCGTGCCGCCGGCGTCAGCGCCGAGCGCTGCTGCCAGTGCAGAAAGCGGCTCTCGGGCTTTCCCCAAAATACAGACTGGGGGGGTCAGGAGTACGCCGTGAGATAGCACCGTTGCATTCGAAATCTCGGGTGCAGGGTGCAATTTCAGAGGAGCAAAGGAAGGAAACTTTGCGGGTGGGGGAAGAGTCGGGAGAGCCGTCGGGCCAGCGGACGGGTGCCGGTGCCGGGGCACTCCTGAATGCTGCACTGTGGCACCAACCGAGCACACACGCAAATCCCTGTGAGTGTGGGGGTGCTGGAATTGTCACTGGATAAACCTGGGGATCGATGTGCCCGTCTGGGTCTGAGTGCGGCGATGTGAGGGTCGGGGTCTGCTGGGATGCCTTCGGTGAGGGGACCACACCTGTCTGTGCTGCTCTGGCAGCTGGTGGGTTAAATCAGGCAAACTTTTCCTGGCACAAGAGCTGGTTGATTTCTCCAACACGTTTTTATTAGCAATTCACACTGAGCAAGTCGAGTAAAGACGCTTAAATCGGAGGCTTCGCTGCAATTACATTCTGAAAACAAAATTTCTTTCTGAGAGGCTTTTAATTGTGCCCTGAGCCTGTGTGCAGCCAGTCAGGGTGAGGGAGCTCTGCAGCTGAACGGCTGCTGGCAGGAGCCTGGGAACACCTCTCCAGGTACCTTCAATCAGCGCTTTCCCTGTGTCCCAATTATTGGCACATCGCTTCCTTGATGTCTCCTGCTTTTCCATAATTCCTTGTTAGAGTGTGCTCAGAGCAATTACAGTGTTGTTCCAGTGAACTCATATTTACTGTCATGGCACGGTTGCTATGGTGATCTCCTGAGACATCCCAATAACTTCCTTAGATAAAGAAGCCAGTTGATACTTGGGTTTGTGTGTGACATAATGTGGAAGAGTTACTAGTGACAACAATATTATGAGAAATCAGTTAAAAATATAAAAAGGAAAAGACCGTTTGGTATGTCCAGTTTTGCCCATACGTGGTTCCTTGCGCTGGATCTCTGCACAAGGGTGAGCCTGACTGCTGAAATCCAGCAGATAATCCCTGTTAGTTTGTCAGGGTGTATGTAAATAGAAGGTTAACGTTTATTGTAGTCACTAGTAACACAACCAGCACTCAGATCACACTCCAAATCACTGCAGACCTTACAGTCTTTGTCCCCGACTGCCTGGGGACTGGTCTGGGGCTTCACTGAGTCACTGGCTCCTGCCACAGCGCTGTGGCTGGGGCAGCACGGGGGTGTCCTGGGCTGGGCAGGGATGTGTGTGCTCTCTCTGGTTGGAACACCTGCCCCAGAGGGTTCTCTGCTGTTCCCCTCCGTTAGGGATGGCCATTTCTCCTCAGCCTGGGGTGGGCAGGAGTGCGTTTGCTTTCTCTGGTGTGGAACACTTGTCTCCAGAGGGTTCTCTGCTGTTCCCCTCCGTTAGGGATGGCCATTTCTCCTCAGCCTGCCCCTGTGCAGCCCCAGATCTCCTCTGCAGCAGTGCAGGAGCTCATGTGTCACGCCCCATCTCCGGGATGGCACGGCTGCTGCTGTCCTTGGTGGGGTGTGTGGGTTGAGCTCTCCGAGCCTGCCTCCAAGGGTACACTTGGTATTCCAGAGTATGTCCTGAGGACCTTCTCTCAACCCTCCCCACTTTTCCAGCATCTTTTCTCTCAGTGCTGGCTGGGCTTGTTCTGTGGCAGAGATGGAGGCTGGGCTGGTTCAGCCGCTGTGTGGGGCTGGCTCCTGGTCCACCCAGGGCCAGGCAGTGCAGAGCTGGGCTCTGGGGATCCGTGCCCAAGGGACAGCTCTGCTGCTCCCTCCTTGCTTCCCTTCCTGGCTGCTGTGCTGTCCCCATCCCCCTGAGGCCAGGTGTGCCCGCTGCTGTGTGTTGGGCACACCTGTCTGACCCCTTGGGGTGCCGGGTGAGGCCAGGTGTGCCCGCTGCTGTGTGTTGGGCACACCTGTCTGACCCCTTGGGGTGCCCTGCCCGCCGCAGCGTGCCCACCGTGCTCTCCCTGCTTGCACACGGCCTGCCAGAGATTCTGGCATTTCACAGCCGGGGTTCACCAGCAGGAAGGCTGACTGCGAGAGGCAGAGCCTGTGTGTGTGTGTGCTCCCAGGCAGCCCTGGCATGGGGAGATGGGTTCCTCTGGCTCTGGGCGCCGCTCTCCAGCTGGTTCCAGTCCCACAGAAAAGCTGGCAGGCTGCACGTCCATCAGCTGGGAGCGAGCTGCAGCCTGTCCAGCTGCAGATGCTGCCCAGGGATGCCTTTGTGAGAGCTCGGTTCTGGCAAGGTGTGTTGTGCCCTGTTCATGAACACAGGAAGTTAATGAATGGAGGGGGAGGAGGAAAAACAAAGTAAGGGGAAAGGGATGGGAAGAAGAAAACAAGGCAAGAGAACAGGAGGGCTGCAGGGTGGAGGAAAATAAGGCAAGAGAACAGGAGGGCTGCAGGGTGGAGGAAAATAAGGCAAGAGAACAGGAGAGCTGCAGGGTGGAGCGCTCGGAGCTGGGATGTGCTGGAGTGAGGAGGGCTCAGTGAGCTGCAGTGAATGGTAGCGGGCTTGTGGGTTCTGTGTTATCACCATGGGCTGTTTCCCATCAGGAAAAACACACCCTTGTCTGCAGGGACTTTTCAGGCTTTGTTATTCATACCTGTAAGGATTTTTAACAACTCCTCCCTCGAGGAGTGGGTTTGTTCTCCAGCCCAAGGGAAGGGTGGCCAGTGCCTGTCTGCTGGCTGAGACACATCTCTCTGTGCAGGGCACGGGGCACTGGGGTGTCTCACAGAATCATTTGGGCTGGAAAAGCCCTCCAGGATCATTGAGTCCCAGCTGTGCCCACCAAGGGATCCCCACCCTGTCCCCAGCTCTGAGTGCCACCTCCAGGTGCCACCTGCAGGGATGGGCACTGAACCCTCCCTGGGCAGTTCCTGAGCCCCTTTCCATGGGGCAATTCCTGCTGTGCCCACCCTGAGCTGCCCTGGCCCAGCCCGGGGCCGTTCCCTCTGCTCCTGTCCCTGTTCCCCCCGGCTGTGCCCTCCTGGCAGGAGCTGGAGAGCGAGAGGAGGCACAGAAGTCATGAGGCTTCTTTGTCATTTGGGCAGGAATTATGCTGTTGTTCTGGGAAACAGCCAAGCAAGCTTTATTGACATCTCCCTCCTTTTTAGAAAAAAAAAACCCCTATTTTTCTTTTAAATTTATTTTTGATGCCAGGTGAGGAAAACCCGTAATTGTGAAGCCAATGGGAATGTTTCAACCCAGGTATCTGGAAAATGCTTAGCAGAGTTGTTGGGCTCGGGCACCAGGGCTGAGCAGGAGGAAATACAGGGCACACTTAGTGCTATTAGCATTGCCCGCAGTTGTGTTACTTGAGAGAGGGGGGAAACCACAGCAAGATTTATCTCTCTATGCAATTGTGTCTGAAGAGGAATTTCAAGACTGCATTTTGGATGTGGTTTCTCCTGAATCAAAGTGGTTTACTAAAAAAACTGTGTGTAAATATACATGAGAATCTGTGAAGCCATCTGCTGCTTTGTGCTGTGCTGTGCCTCCCCTCGCTGACACGAGGCCACTGGTCCAGGGTTCCTGTCCGTGTCCTGATGCTGAATTCGCTTTTTCTGCTGATGCACAAGGTTTTAATGGTGCAGCCCAGTGACTTTCATCATTATTAGTTTTTGTCTCAGTCGCTTTCCCCCCATCCCTTGTTTGACTCTGCCAGAATGCAGATGGTGTTTTGTAAGGGGGTCGAGTGCAGGCGCCTGTGTTTATCCTACTTGCATCAAAATCAACTTTTAAACGCGTTCCCAGTTCTGTAGCTCATGGCTGGAGCTCTCCCAGTGGAGCAGCCTGGCTGTGGGAAGTGTGTGCTCAGGGCTGGCCGGGTCAGGTGCAGTGTCCCTGTGCGCTGTGCAGTGTCCCTGGGCGCTGTGCAGTGTCCCTGTGTGCCATGTGCTGTGCAGTGTCCTGGGTGCTGTGCAGTGTCCCTGTGTGCTGTGCAGTGTCCCTGGGTGCTGTGCAGTGTCCTGGGTGCTGTGCAGTGTCCCTGGTGCCGCCATGTGCTGTGCAGTGTCCCAGGTCAGGTGAAGTGTCCCTGTGTGCTGTGCAGTGTCCCTGGGTGCTGTGCAGTGTCCCTGGGTGCTGTGCAGTGTCCTGGGTGCTGTGCAGTGTCCCTGGTGCCGCCATGTGCTGTGCAGTGTCCCTGGGTGCCATGTGCTGTGCAGTGTCCCTGGGTGCCATGTGCTGTGCAGTGTCCCAGGTCAGGTGAAGTGTCCCTAGATGCCATGTGCTGTGCAGTGTCCCTGTGTGCTGTGCAGTGTCCCTGTGTGCCATGTGCTGTGCAGTGTCCCTGGGTGCTGTGCAGTGTCCCTGTGTGCCATGTGCTGTGCAGTGTCCCTGGGTGCTGTGCAGTGTCCCTGGGTGCTGTGCAGTGTCCTGGGTGCTGTGCAGTGTCCCTGGGTGCTGTGCAGTGTCCCTGGTGCCGCCATGTGCTGTGCAGTGTCCCTGGGTGCTGTG